AAAAAAAAAAAAAAAAAAAAAAAACCGAAAGGATTTAGGAAAAATATATTTTTTTTAATATTCCTTTTCCTAATTCGTTATTTCTTCATGTAATTATTTGGATAAATCATTATGTTTTTTTTGTTAGACGAACACGACTCTCCACAATGGTATGACCACTCCCTAAATTAGCCGAGGTGGGACTTTCATCATCCAACACCTCCCCTCGAACAAAGCACGCCTCCCCTTAATCGAGGCTCGACTCCAACACCTCCCCTCGAACAAAGCACGCCTCCCCTTAATCGAGGCTCGACTCCTTTGGAGTCTTAGTCATTTTTTAATGCCTTCGTACCTTCGAGGAGGCTTGACTCCTTTTTTCTTTTTGTTCGACATTCGAGGATTTGTCAATCTATTGGCACGGCTAAGTTTAGGGCATGGCTCTGATACCATGTTAGACGAACACGACTCTCCACAATGGTATGATATTGTCCACTTTGAGTCTCATGGCTTTGCTTTGGGCTTCCCAAAAGGCCTCACACCAATGAAGAGTGTATTCTTAGATTATAAATCCATGACCATTCCCTAAATTAGGGGATGTGGGACTTTCATCATCCAACATGTTAGACGAACACGACTCTCCACAATTGGTATGATATTGTCCACTTTGAGTGTAAGCTCTCATGGCTTTGCTTTGGGCTTCCCAAAAGGCCTCATACCAATGGAGTTAGTATTACTCACTTATAAGCCCATGATCATTCCCTAAATTAGCCTATGTGGGACTTTCATCATCCAACATTTTTTACTTGTGTAATTAAATTATGTTATATTTTCCATTGGAACAAACCTGCCTAGTCCGCTCTAAACAAAGGTGGACCAGAAGTAAAAGACCCGAGCTAAAGGTGAGTACGTGCTAAAAGCTAGAGACATGAGCTATACTAGAATGTCAACAGGTTAGGGAGGCGTAAGTTTTTTTTAATTATTATTTTTTAAATCTAGTTATAATGCAAAACTCTGCTCCAATCAAGTAAAATTAAGGGTATAAAGAATATTGCTGTTAAGAATGTCCTTTAAAAGGAGGCGATCAAGAGCGAAGACGCGTGAAGTGAAAACTTCTAGTATTCTCGAGCATGAATACGTGCACGAGCCTATGCAAACAAGATTAAAATCAACAAATAACCTCTTCATCTTATAAATTTCAAGTCGAGATGATACAACTAGTTATCGAGAATCACAAGGTTGTAAGATTAACATAACTGAATGATTACGAGCTGCGATTAGTACTCGAGACATAAACAAAGCATTTTTTACTTGATCGACCAAATTTTTTATTTATTTTTATGAAATAATTTTAAAAAATTATATATAGAAACTTTTCAAATAATAGTCAATAGCCCAGCAGCTGTAACCAAAATTGGCTCTCATTGACATCACTCCAAGCTTTTCAACTCATTTTTACTTCCTTGTCGCCTTCAGAAGTATAGCCCGGAGGTCCACGGCGTCGATCTCGGCGGCGCAATTCTCCGGCCGGTAGTAGCCGGTGACGGGGTCTGGGACCCACGACTCCTTCTCTGTACTTTTTGCCGTCTTGGCGCCAATTCTTGCCGCAACTCCTTTCGCCGCCGCACCGCTTTGTGGTGCCACCGCCGCATACCCACGCCTGTCCGATCACACAGCACGTTAGAAGCCAGAATAATTTAATACAGAAAAAAGGGGTATTTTTTATTTATAAAATTTAATAAAAAAAGAAAAAGAACAACAGAGAATTGTTTTATTTCAGTACCGGAAGAGAGTGTTGGACAGTCCATCGGAGACGAGAGCCGACGCGATCTTGACGGCGGAGAAAGAGCGAGCCATGGATAGATTTTCCGTTTGTTTCTCGGGAAAATTCTCGAGAAAATTTGCGTTTGAGATATGGAAAGAACAGAGATCGTGAAGATTATTTATAAAGACGGGAGGGAAGTGACGTGGAAAGTGGAAATAGTCAAACCGGGTCGGTTTAGAGGACCCGTCAAAGAAAGGCAAAAAGTGCGTACACGTGTTAATTTAATTTTTCCAACATTTAACTCAAACACCCATTGACAACCATCCACGTGTTAAAGAATATCGTGGGTCCTAGGTGGCGCGGGAAAGGGCAGAACAGTCAAAGCTTAGTTGGACTTTAATTTCCGGGAAATTCGGTAACATTGGACTATTCAAATTCAAACAGCTGCTGTTATTGTCCAGCAGCCTCCTCGAAGCTCAAAAGCCATCATAAAAATTAAGGCTAAATTAATAAAATATTTATAAAAATTAAGGCTAAATTAATAAAATATTTAAAAAATTAAGGCTAAATTAATAAAATATTTATAGAAATTAAGGCTAAATTAATAAAAATAGTATTATGTCTAAAAATTATAATAAGTTTTTGTTGTTCGATAATTTTAAATTATTTGGTTAGTGTCGAACTTAATTAAAATAATGTAAAATATGACCAAAATTTTAATTAAAAATATAAGGAAATTCATGGAAATAAAGTGTAACATAAAAATAACAAAATAATATTTTATTGTATTTTTGACGGATTTGCTGTGTGCTAAAAAATGAAGCCCAATAAGGGAAAGCCCGAAGAGTATAAAAGCCCAAAATCACTGGCAGCCCATTGCTTCTTCTCCTGCTGCCGTAGTTAGGGCTTTCATTTTCAGTATCTGCCGGACCGATCAGACCTCTGCGAGCGGCGGTGGCATTGCATGTACCGGACCGAGCCGTCGTTTTCCAAAGTCGACCGTCGTTGTGTTATTTCGACGTTCGTGGTTTTTCCGTTTAAGCATTTCTATTCGGCGGACGGCGGTGTAAGAAATGGCGGAGGTCAACAGCACTGGCAACGAAATTCCTCCGAACATGACCATCTACATTAACAATCTCAACGAGAAAATCAAGCTGGAAGGTATTTTTGAGGGGAGTGGAATGTCGAAGCTTCTTTAATAGTCTGAAATGTGTTGTAATTTTTATTGTTTTCTTCTTTGTAAGAGCAGAATTGAAGAAGTCGCTGAACGCGGTGTTCTCGCAGTTCGGGAAGATTCTGGAAGTATTGGCTTTCAAAACCTTGAAGCACAAAGGACAGGCTTGGGTTGTCTTCGAAGAAGTATCTTCTGCCACTAATGCGCTTAGACAAATGCAGGGCTTTCCTTTCTATGATAAGCCTATGGTAATGTGCTTACTAGAACCTACTAATTCTTGCAGTGAAAGGGTGGTTATCGTCGATAAAGAATTGAAATTGATTGCTCCAATTTTAAATTGTTTCTTGCAATTTCTTGGCTCAAACGGATAGTTATACTAATGTGAGTCAATGTGGAAATTATGAAAGTGCTGATGGATTCTTCTGTGTAACCAAATTGGAACTTTGTTTGGGTTAAGAATCATCTAGGTAGTCTAGATTTACTCGCACATGGCTAGGAAATAATGTGATTGCTTGAAGATAATTGCCGTACTGATGGTGTGGTCTACTATGAATATTCATAGCTGATTTCATTTTAGCAAGGTTAAAGGACAATTGTTGTTTGAATGATCAATACCCTGAGCAGTGATCTTGAATGATTACTTCTTAAATATATCACATTGCAGATGTTTGAGTTTACTCCTGAGCTTTATTACGTTGGTTCTTAATAGTTTGACACACATCATATGGTTGTCAAACGTGGCTTCTGCCAATCTTATGAAAGTTCGGTATCTGTTGAGCATTTCTGGTTTGTAGGTCTGGTGGCTAACATCTACGTTCTCTATGCATTTTTGTACGGTGTCGTAGACTTTGTATCTTTTCCATGTTATAAAGTGTGACCAATTTTTTATATCATTTGTTGCTCTGTTCTATTATTCGTCTTTTGTTAGCTTGACGAAGTTTGGTGTAATACGAAGTTAAGTGTTGTTGATTTGCAATCATGTAGAGGATACAATATGCAAAGACGAAATCAGATGTTATCTCGAAGTCTGACGGTACATTTGTTCCCCGGGAGAAACGAAAGAGGCACGAGGAGAAGGGTATAATTTGTCTCCATTTTTTATTTGACAATTCAAATTCAAATGTGTCTAAATTAGCTTGGTTCATGAAGATCTTTTTCTTCAGTATTTGATACAATAGTAGAGTATTGTAGGTTTTTACTTTAGGTATTTTATTCAAATCTATTGGAGCAGTATTGACATCTTAGGGAATTAACTTTTCAGTAAGTTCTTATAAAAAAAAAACAAAAAAAAAGAAGGAACTTTTTTTCAGAAAGTAAGGAAAATGTTGTCTTATAGTTTATATAGCAGTCTTTTGATCTTAATATCTGTCCATTCTTTCGATGTGGTAGGGAGGAAGAAGAAAGAGCAGCATGATGCTAATCAAGCTGGGATGGGTATGAATCCTGCTTTTGGTGGAGCATATGGTGCAACAGCGGTAAGTATCTCTATTTAATTCCTAAAGTTTGGTCTTTGATAAATTTTATAAACTTTTATATCTAGAATATATTCATTTCTAGATTTGAGCCTCATATACATAGTTTGATTCTCCAACGAAGTCGATCAAGATATTATGTGTTCACCTGTTGTTGAATAATGTATTCTAAGTGCTTCACTGATATGATATGGCTGACATGATTATCAACTATAGATTATAGAGAATAAGAGTATTAGAATGTAATAACTAATAAAAGGTAGAACTTCACTACTTGAGGCTAATTTTGTTCATTAAAAATGATTCGCTCTCGACCTTTTTCGTTTCTCACTCTCCTCACTATATTAAGAACGATTCTTAATTTGTATGCTATTCATTGAATTAGGGCACTTCTTTCTTTTAACTTCCTCCTGGGTAGTAAGAGTCATTTTTGTTGTTCTTTATGAATTTATCCGCACTTTTCCTTACTTCATATAATCATGCTTAAAAACTGTAACAACCCTAAATTTTATCAGATGTTCCCTTAAGGTCGTTACAAGAACCCTTTGCCGATTAATTCATCATATTTATAATTATGGTACTTGTTATGTTTATTTATTGGAAATTGTATGTTGCTAACGCGATCCGTCTTTCCTTTCCTCCCCTGAAAATGGTGCAGCACTCTCAAGTACCTTATTCTGGTGGAGTTATGGTGCCAGAAGCACCAGCCCCACCCAATAGCATTTTGTTTGTACAAAATCTTCCCCATGAAACGACTCCAATGATGCTACAAATGCTGTTCTGTCAGTATCCTGGTTTCAAGGAGGTTCGTATGATCGAAGCAAAGCCAGGTATTGCATTTGTAGAGTACGCCGATGAGGTACAATCAACAGTTGCCATGCAAGCGCTACAAGGTTTCAAGATGAACCCGCAAAACTCGATGTTGATAACTTATGCAAAGAAATAGGATAGCAAATCTTGGTCTCTTCACTGTATGGAAAGCCAACTGCTATCTTCTGATTCTCAGTACAGGAGATCGTGTGTAAAATACTGTCATCATGAACTTGCTGAAAATTCTATTCAGATCAGTTTTCTTAACTAGGAATAGAACAGATCTCGGATCCCATGAACGCAGCAGTTGCCATGATTATCGTTGAACTCGTAGTAAAGTTTGATTTTCATTATCATATTTTGTTCTCATTATCATGTAGTAGTAAAAAAAATAAACCAAAAGCTTTTATGAATATGAGATTGAAGAGCTGTTCTTGTTGAAATCTAACTTGGCAGATGTTGAACAGCAAGTTCTACAGGATATAACAAGTCCACAGTGCAGGGAAAAGGAAGCTGCAGCTGAAGTGTTGTTGAGGGAGATGAACATCCAGTAAGTACAGCTTAATTCTCGAACTAAATTCTGTCGAGCATGTCGATTACTCCAATTTTACTTGTATGATATAGCGAATTCGAGCCTGATTGATATCTTAGATTACATAGTCATTATATCCGAGATCATATAGGTAGCTAGAAGAAAAAAGCTCCTTGCACTGGAGGCTGCTAAGGCCATTGAACCTTGACTAGATTACAATTTCTAAAGAACATGAACACAATCTTCTCAAAATTCAAAAGGAACAGGAAAGGTTTGGCAGCTACAACTTCAGCTCAATAATTTTGATCCTTATTTTATTTTTGTTGTTAAGAAATCTGTAATTGATGTGAAAGGGATGGATTGATTGTGATTCCCTCAACCACAAATTAAGCCAACCCCACTTTCTCTAATCAAACTTACAACACAACTGTTACAAAATCCAAAAACAAGCATCATATCACCCAAATTCTAACCTACAAGCTTTCACTTCCACTCCTTTTGCTTCTGGACCTCCCCCTCGAGCTATTCGTTTTAACCATTATACTTTAACCGATGCAAGAACAACCTGGGACGACGACTACGCTGTTGTCTTGGCGCTTCCGCTGCTGTCCTTGTGGTCGCCAAAGATACGTTGTCGAAAATCAGAGACCATGAGTGGGAGACCCTTCTGGAGAGAAACTTTGGGTTCCCAACCAAGAAGATCCTTGGCCTTGGTGATGTCTGGCTTCCTCTTGTGGGGGTCGTCCTCTGTGTTCGGCCTGTACTCTATCTTCGCATCCGGGTCGATCGTTTCCTGCACGACCTGCTCACACAACATACGTACATACATATGACCGAGGTTATTATCATCGTTACGTTTGTACAACCCCTTCACTATACAAACCTCTTCACTACATTACTTCGTCCAAAAATGTACCTTGGCAAGTTCAAGCATGGTGAATTCACCGGGGTTTCCAAGATTGAAGGGTCCAATATGCTCTCCCTCCATAAGCCTCATCAATCCCTCCACCTATCGAACATTAAACAAACACATCGTCTTATCGTAAGGACAAACCGACTATGACTTCAAATCGAGTTTCAAATGATCATTGGACCCAAAAGTTTCATAATTAATACAATACGAATCCAGACTTAAAAATTAC